ACACTTGCTAAAAAATTTAAAGCCAAGTGGCAAGTGGCATTCTAGCCGAGCGCCAGGCACTGAAGCAAGATAAGTGGCAGCTGGCAACACAAGCCGAACGCCAGACACTTGCTAAAAAATTTAAAGCCAAGTGGCAAGTGGCATTCTAGCCGAGCGCCAGGCACTTAAGCAAGATAAGTGGCAGCTGGCAACACAAGCTGAACGCTAAACACTTCCTAAAAAATTTTAAAGCCAAGTGGCAAGTAGCATTCTAGCCGAGCGCCAGGCATTTGAGCAAGATAAGTGGCAGCTGGCACCGCAAGCCGAACGCCAAGCACTTGCCATAAACAAGCACACGACAAAGTTAATATAAAAGGAAAGAGAGAAAGGGTATATATATATTGAAAATGGGTTTGAACAGAGCACAACACAAAGGAAAAAGAGAAAAAGAGTTCTGTCATCTCATTCATAATAAGCATTGAGTTTACAAAAAATGAAATATTCAAGTCACATTGTTACAAAAAAGTATGAATCGAAGAGTCCGGAGGAGTTCTAGCTAGCTACCTCAGTACCGACAGCATCCTGGTTGTGCCGACCCGCCTCCTCAGTCCCATCAGCCGTCTCACCCTCACGAGGTGGGGAATCAAGATGAATAACAGAGTCATTCTGCTGGGGGCCAACGTCAGCAGTGGCTATGGGAGGTACCACAGTTGACGATTGAGGAGCGGTTAGAGGCAGAGCGGTAGGAGGAGCTGTAGTGATCCTTGAGGAAGCAATGTCCTGGCACTCATCAAATATGTGCTCCGCTTCGGTGGGTTCTGGGTCAACATAGACCCCCAGAGAGTCAATCCCTAAATCCTTATCGACCTTATCTGGAGTGGAGCTGGTCTGTCCCTCATCCGGAACTCGGTCAGAGAAACCTTCTCGGAATCCTTGAGCATATCTAAGAGCGTCGACCCTTGAGAACCGAGCATGAAGAGCCAGCATCCCACTGTTCACTCTGCTGATTGTATCAATCAGAGCAGTACACTCGTCCAGAGCTCTCTTCTCAAAAGCCATCCGAGCAGACTGTTCATCAGCCAGAAGGCGCTGGAGCTCTGCCTTTTCGTCTCTGATTGAATCACGCTCAGTCTGCCAGACGCTCTTTTCAAGCTGGAGGGCATCCTTCTCATCCTGAAGAGAGTCGTTCTCCTTCTTCAAGACATCTCTTTCTTGTTCAGTTTTTTCAAGCCGAGCCAATACCTCGGTATTCTTGCTGGCGAGAAGGTCGTTTTCTTTATTGGCCACCTCCAGGCTATCAGAAAACTTACGAGCCCTGGCGTTCCCCATCTCTACCTGCTTCTGCATAGCCATCATTCCGAACAGAGTCTGCATAGATGTACATTAATAATGGTTAAACCGATAGTCTAGTCGGGCGAAGGCAAGACCAAATAATATGAGAGAATTCATGAGTTGAAAATAAAAGTCACCTCCATGGCAGATTGGGGAAAGCGGCTGAACACATCCTTCTGGGATAGGCCTTTCGCCGCCTCAAGGTCTTTCGGAGTCTACATGCTCCTATAATACGCCATGGCGGTCTGGCCATTCTTTAGCATGGTCTCGTTCGGCTTCACGAACGTCCCATCCGTTCGGGTGTACCGAGGAGCCCATGGTGGTAAAGTGGGAAGAGAAGGGGAGCCTGAAGCAGAAGCAGAAGCAGAGGCACCAGCTGCAGCAGGCCCGGAGGGGGCAGGAGCTCTGACCGGGCGATGCAAGAGAGCACCCGGCCCAGAGACCCGGGTCCTTCTTATGAGAGGTTCCTCCTCAGGGTCGACTCCACTGTCAGGATGAGGCCTTTTGCCTCGTTCTTTATCCCGAGCGCCCCCAGCGGCAGCAGGGGCTGTAGTGATTTGCGGAGGCGCGCTCGGGTTGGTAGCAGGGGTGCTGACAACAGAGTCAATAGCCACCGTGCTCGGGATGGTGTCAGAGATGGTGGCTGAGAAAGAGGCTGATGCAGGAGAGGAGGTTGCCCCAGCAGCAGAAGTGGCTGCGGGAGTATTTTTCTTCCTGCCAAAAGAGGGGATCTGAAGCCTGCTCATGTTATAGCCGAGGGATGAGAGCGCTAGGAGGTTGTCTGAAGTGAGGAGGTCTGAGCAGGAAGGAATATCGTTCAGAACGTATTTCTTCAAGTAATTACTCCTATCCCTGCAAACACTGTAGCTCAAGTCATCACAAGGTATTCCTAAGGAGCGGCATAAGAAAGTACAAAAGCGAGGAACGCATGTTTCGCAGGGGCAATCGTTTTTGTGAGATTTGAATTTCTTATATGAGGAAACAGAACAGACGCCAAAGGCGCTCGGGATTGGGTAATCCTCTGCAGCCGGCGAGGACCAAGTCCCACTAATGCCCACGATGTTATCCCTCCAACCCTTTTCAGATTTGATTGTGTCCGTACATATGGACATCTTCTCGATCGGGTAGAGGTGGTAGAAGGGCTCATTAATTCGGATCTTACTGACCTTATAACATAGAAGAAGATCTATGAGGTCAAGGTCCAGACTTCTGTCACGAATCAACAGTAGCATAACGGATATGATTCTAAAGAAATTGGGGTTTACCTGCAGGGGGGATATCCCCAGTCTATTGAAGACATAATTAAAGAAGGGGTGCAGAGGGAACCTAACGACATTCAGTTGTAGGTTTGAAAATAAAACTTCGCCGGGAAGGAGGCCGGCACCGGTCATAATATTAACATCCTTAGGGCAAACCCTAACTTGGATGTTGTCAGGAAGTCTAAGTCTCATACGAAGAACATCTAGATCTACAACCATGGTGGAAGTGTTTGAAGGATCTAAAAGGGGTAAAAAGAAGCCTGTCGAAAGTAAAAAGGAACAAAACTAACCTCTGAGGTAGAAAACAACAAAGAACACTGCAAGACCGCTGGAAGAACGACTCTTGAAGGATTTCACCAGAAAAAGCTTAGCACTGTTCTAAAAAGAGAGAGATTTGACTGATGATGGAGACGGTAAAAAGGCATGAAGTGGTATTCTAGAGCCTTATAAAGGCGAGGGGGACCCGAGGGCCGAAGCGTCAGGAAGGCGAGAAATTCATCGAGCCCCGGAACATTGATTCTGGATCTGACCGTCCGTTCCCCCATGTGGGTTTCTCGAGCCGTCAACGTCATGATGAGACGCCTTCAATAATTACCCCCTTATTAAACAAGAGGTAATTATGGGGGCAGTTGAGGAGGCCCGAGATGACATGGGCCGGATATGACTTGCAAACGCGACATTCAGTCCGTACAGATGGGTCAGGCCCATAAAAAGACACTGCCATATGGGCCGAATGCGCATAAGCCCATCAAAGAGGACCGGGACTCATAGAGGAACGGGCCTAGATCCAGCAAGCCATCAACATTTGTAAATCTCTATAAATAGGAGGAGTAATGGAAAGAAAATGAGAGATTTTTTGGTTGATATACAGGAATTCTAGAGAGAGAAAGGGGGAAGGAATTTCTTGTATCTTCAATATATATATATTCTTGAATCAATAATTGTAGTTCATCAAAATTTTCATATATATATATATATATATGCTTGTGTGCCTTTTTTTTTTCTTTTATACCCTTGAATTTTGATTCACTTTGATGCTAAATAATTCCTGGTTATTTGGTTCAGCTGTAATTTTGCTTAAAAGTTTCGATACAAATTTCAGATACCAAATTTCAGCTTTAATGTTTTTTTTTTTTTGGTAAATGAATTAATTTTATATATAAAAAAAATTAGATGAACTGAACAAATTATGGCTGTAGATGTTGGTGAACAAATTAAACTTCATGTTCTCTTGTTACATTACGAATTAGATGATATCGATCTTATTCTTTATCGTATAAGTCTTGTTTAAAGATTCAATCCTGTTTAAAGATTCTTTTAATTTCAAAGCCGTCAGAATTGAACAGATATTTCTAAAGCCTCCCAAAATTAAAAACATCACTAAAGTTTGACTCGTGATTTATGAGTCATTCACCCTTTTTTTTTTTTTTTTTTTTTTTTTTTTTTTTAAATCTGTTAAAGGTCAAATGAATCTTTTAATAACTCTTTCACTATGATTAGGCAATAAAAAGAATTTACTAGTTATAACACTTATAATTAAAATACTTTAACAGCTTTACTTTTATCTTACTTTTGCTTAAGAGCAATGTTACTATAATTGCCAAGGTTGTCATCCTTTTTTTTTTTTTTTCGTTTCCGAGGAAGTGCATATCTTATCCGATCTTCTTCCTTAATGGTACTGAACAATAATATCATTGGGTAGATATACAAATCGCTTTCATACAAGAAGCTGAGTAGGTGCGAGTGAAAAAAAAAAAAAAAAAGAAAAGAGAAAAAAGAAAAAGAATTGAACATAAAATATATATATATATATTTTAGAGTTATCCATTTTTAAAAGAAACAGATAAGATATTTCGATACAGTGACATCTTGATACTACTAAGATCTCTCTCTCTCTTTTGAAAAATAATAATAATAATAATAATAATAATAATAATCCAAAGAATCCAAAATTTTGAAAAATTGAATCTCGATTATGTGAGATGAGAGTGGTGTGGGTTACCATTTCATATTTCTTTCATGTCGTAATATTGTTAATTATAAAATTTTCCTTTGTTTAATGGTAAATATCGTTAATTATAAATTTTTCCTTTGTTTAATGGTACCATGACTAGCCAACTCCATATTCTTCTAGCAAGGATTAATATCTTAGACATCACTTTGTAAAGGACCTTATTAACTAATTATTAGAATTTTCAACTTTGGCTAATCAAGTTTTGCTTTAAAAAATAGAAAAAATTCACATATGAAGCTCAGCTTGTTTTCTATTTATTCCAAGATTAATTTGAATAATTTCTTACTCAAAGAAGTCCCAAAACTATGCTCTAGTAATCGGCCCACTATATTTGCAGATGGGGTGTCCATTTAGAAAGAAGCCCAAACAACCAAACCTCAAAATGTGGGTTTAATTAAAGCCCCATTTTACTTTCTTGCAGCGTTAATTGTGGGACCTAAAATGATCAACCTACCTTCCAAGAATTCCTTAATCCTCATCTTCCCAGTAACATTTATCATTTTCCCAGTTCCCAAACAAACCCAGAACTAATTTTCCTCCTTTTTTGTTTTGGTTTGATTTTACCCTTTCGTTTCCGACGGCCCAATCACAGGTACTTCTGATATTTCCGTCGAATTCTCGCCGGGAACCCTTGGATTCCGGCAATCAAACAGGAGAAGATGGTGTCTCCGGAAGAGAATTCGAATTGGCTTATAGATTACGACGTCATCGAAGACATTCCTGTCCCCGGCGGTAACCTCCCTGCCCTTGAACCCGGTTTTCAATGGCCCTCAAATGCTCTCGCCGGTTCAACCGATTTCAGGTCCCTCAATCTCTCCCAAATATTTATATATATATATTTCAAAGTCTATTTTTTTTGTCAATTTATTTTATTTTATAATCATTGACCTTGAATGAGGTTTCTTTGACACCATACGACGATTTTTTTTTTTTTTAATTTTTTATAATTGAATATATATATACACATATATCATGATTGAACGCATCTATGGAAGTTTTGTGCTTTTCTTTCCCGTGCATTAGTATTTGTTGAGTTTTTCCTTTCACATTTTCCAAACCTTCGAATACATAAGGTGTGAAACTTTAATTTTTCCTGTTAGTATAAGAATGTGAGGCTATAAGTTCTCGTGGTAGTTGTTTTTGTGCTTCTTTGTGTGCATATGCGAGCAATGATGCAAATTAGAGGTTGTGGGTTGGGAAAACCAATGCCTATTGGAAATAACACCAGTCAATAAGATCCAGATTGCAACAACTTAAAACTATTGATTCTGAACCAAATGATTGAAAACTATCTTTATTGACTTGCATAGAATTGTGAGTCGAAACAGTCTAAATCCATCTTATGTGGAGATATTATTTTAGATTGTGGATGTGACTGTAGGTCTCTAACATCCCGTTCGGATGAGGGGATGGAAGTGGAAGGAAAATGAGGAAACAACGAGGGCATTCGTGAACTCTCAAACCTCCTCTTTTCTCTTCCAGAAGTGCAGGAAATGGAGGTAAAGGGTAAGGAATAGTTGATCACGGAGTCTATAGCCTTAGATTGCAGAATCGATACATATGATTCATGTACCCAACCCCAAATTGTTTGAAATGACTTTGTTGAGTCTGGTTGAGTTGAATTTTTTGTTAAAAAAGTTCATGTTTTGGCCATCCTACTCGAATAATAAAAACATTTTTGGTCTTTATCTTCCCTCCTATGCCCTTTCCAAAACAATAGGAATAGTTGCCACTATCCTTTCCTTTCTCTTCCCTTACATCAAAACAAGATGAGTTATTTTTTATCATTCCCTTTCTTTTCTCTTCTCTTCTAACTGGTGCCATCCTTTGTATCATTACTCTCCTACTTAGCCAAACAGGCTGTCAATGAACTAAAATTTGTTAAACTTTGCCTCATTGGTCTTGGACCGATTCTCATTTGATTTAGATTGAGATGGTTTAAGACCTGGTGGTTTTAAGGATGTTTGGGTTGGTTCTTATGCTTGCTGTCTTAGGGTTTAGATTTGGCCTTGTTAGTTGTAGCTCGAGGTTACCTTGATGAGCCTTTCTGTTCTATGCTTCTAGAAGTCATCTTTCAGAAATTTTGGTCTTCTAGGCTTTTTTGTCAAATGAGGGTATTTTCAGGAGAGAATGGAGGCTTTAAGGTTCTGTGATTAGTTTTGAGTGTATGGGCTTAACCTACAAAAAAAAAAAAAAAAGAAAGAAAAAAGAGCACAAATATATTTGATTTGTGATGACATCTAGTTCCCCAAAAAAATGTCATAGGTATATAAGACAATATATATTTCTTTTCCGTGAGGAGTTTTTGTACGGTATTATGCTATTAAGTGACTGATCCTTTTTTGACTAATAGTGAAATTGCCTGCAGTCATTTTGATTCCTCTGATGCATGTTTTGTACATTTTTTTTTGATAAGTTGAAGCATGTTTTACTTTCATGGATTTAAAGGTGAGATTGGTTGGGAATCATTTCTTCGTGTCCTAAACCCAGACACTGAAAGAGGAAAAAAGATTCACCTATGCACAAGGAAATCACAGAACATTTGATTCAAGGTCATTTATTTTTTGACTCATTGGGAGCTAATCTACCATTTTCTATTCAGTGTTCTGGTTATAAGAAAAATTACTATTTGATTTTGTTAGTGAAGTACACTTTTGCCAAGTGTTATTATTTATTTTTTGGTAAGGTGCCAAGTGTTATTTTGCTAATGCAATGCTTGGTACTTGTGCTTTCTATTCAGATGGTAGCAATAAATTGAGATTATAGTCCTGAGCAACTATACTGAAGTTGATCCCATGATGCTGATGTGAATGTTTAGATCACAGTGAATTCTGCTAGATCAGTCATGGACAATTGTTGTTGCGTTTACCCCAATTTTGGCTCTTGAATTTTAAAATATTACAGGGCTGTTAACTAAGTGAGTTGAGCTGTCCAAGATCACATTTGAAATCTTATATAGTTTAGGATGCTCATTAGGTTATCATGTCAAGTTCGAGTGATGGTCATGGACTAGCTTCTACTTATGATCAAGCTCGACTTTTCTATCTAATGAGCCATTACTGAACAAGCCCTTAACCAAGCCAATTATGAGTGAAACTCACCTAAAATTTATCCAGTATTTAAAATCTGTCCATAGCCTTGCCACCTGCATAATTTGTCCCTGCCATGCTTGTGTCAAAACAAAAGATATATTAAAGATCTAAGTAGTGTTATTTTGTACATTTGGGACAAAAGGATTCCAAAATATCTAACTGCTAACATACAGTATAACTATTTAATTCATGACATAGTACATATTTACAGGTCTAAGAAACAATAACTTAGTTAAGAGAATATTGACATGGTACATATATATGGGGGTTAAAGAAACAATGCCTTAGTTAAGAGAACATTTACTATTGTAAAAGTTTCACATTTTGGGTATTGAAAATGTAATGATTGGGTAGATTAGTGATGTTTTAGACAACATGGGGATGTCGGTCATGTTAGCTAATATTAGCATCAGTTCCAAATTGTGATAATTATGTTTTTTTCTTTGAATGTTGTGATTCAAATGATTCAATATATTTCCATGTTAGGGTTATTCCAAATGATATAGAACCCAAATATTTTGTAATTTTGACAAACTTTGTTTGCTGAATTAAAGATTTTGGCCCAGTCCTTGTTAAGAAAGTGATTTGATAATAAATCTCTTCTGGAGGTTCACTTATGTCCACTTATTTTCTCAAGTTTGTGGAGGTGATTTTGATCTTCTTATGTTCAACTGGTGTTAGATAATTGTATATCTTAAATTTGTGGATTTTCACTACATGAGTATAGGGATATTGATTTTAAGTGATGCACTGTATCTTATTTGCAATTTTGTTTCTTCTACTTTTCGCCTTTGCTCCCTTCTGTTACTGTAATTTGATGAAGTCTGTCCTATGTCATTCTTGAGCAAGATCAAGTTCTACTTATTTTATAAGCATATCATGTTTTTTCTTATTTTATAAGTATCTCATGCTTTTCATTGTCATGTTCCCAGTGTAGAATTTGACTACTCATTGGGGAAATCTGATGGTTTAAAGGAATCTGGCTCCCGAAAGAGGTATGTATCTCCTTTTACCTTGCATTTATTCCGCAAGAGTTCTCGAAAGTACTACTTGTAGCCTAGTGTCACAGGGGTAAATTCTGAACACGAATCTAGTGCCCTGTGATGGCACTAAGCCAGAAATATGAAGAACTTTTCTCTGAATTTCTAACTTAGCTCAGCCTACTCACACTTGCTGCCTAAAACACACAGCAAGTAAAACACTCTCACACACAAGTATAGTTATAAGAATGTAAAGACAATAACACCCACGAATTTTACAGAAGCACAAGGCTTCCAACCTTTTACAAAACAGTACAAGGAAAGGCCTCAACCTGCAGAAGCATACAAGAGTCTCTCACAACACAACTCTGTGTCTCACTCTCAATCTGCCCTTTCTATAGAACCCACATTAGCAATATATAGGCAAACTCTCAAAACCGCCCACAACTGCTCACTAAAGTGGTGGATGACACCCCCATCCACCCACAACTACCCACTAAAGTGGTGGATGACACCCACATCCACCTAGGGTCATGTTGGCACCCACAAAGTGTTTTTGCACTACATATGTAGTTGACAAGCCCAACTACTAGCTTGTTGGCACGCTCTGCTCATGCCACTTGTCCACAGGAAGTTACACGTTATCTGCCACCTTCTATATATCAGCATAATGGAAGAAAACCGACTCTAACCACCTGTGTGTTGTCCCCTCAGATCTGTGCCACATGCATGAGAAGTTCCTCAGCACACCCCCACTCCCCATAATATATGCATATGAGTGGGAAGTTGGGAAGTAACTTCCCCCAACCAACTGAGCCCACTTAGTGGGAAATGTAACTTCCCCCAACCAACTGAGCCCACTTAGTGGGAAGTGTTAGTAACTTCCCCCCAACCAACTAAGCCCACTTAGTGGGAAGTGTAACTTCCCTCTACCACCTGAGCCCACTTGGCCATCTTCTGTAACCATAAGCCATGTCTGAGTCCCCTGAGCCAACCTTGCACGCTGAGCCTTGCCTACGCCCACTGCCTTGTATCCATGTCCCTGACTTGACTATGCCACAAGTTCATGACTTGTGTGGTCCATGCTTTAAGCAACATCTGAGCCAACCTTGTGAACTTAGCTCGTGCCAAGCCTACTAATCTGCACCCACATATAAATGTCTCAAAGTGCACGACATCCAAATTGAGTGCCGTCTACGCCAACCATCTTCTATGGACTCAAGGTACCTCCCATAAAGATCCCGAGCCAAAACTCCAAGCTTCATTTTTTCGCCATATTTACGAAAATGCCACTGGCACCCCCAGTGCACGCTGACAGCATCCCATGGCTGTCAGGGGGCTTGTCAAGGTCCCAACCCCGTAACAAACCTCCCTTACTTAAGAATTTCAATGTCCTCGTTGAAGCAATCACAAAGTGTCACAAGTCTCTGCTTGCAACTTAGCATGTTGGCCCCGACCAACTCGAATGCTGAATATTAACACTACAACAACTCCACCGCTGCACTTTAATAATGACATAAACCCCAACCTCCGCTTCGATTCATTACATGAATTCTGAACATCTTTGGATTCTGTCCTCACAACCAGTAACCCAAATCAGAAAAACAAATAAAGAGGGAATTCACCATTACCAACCTTGGCAATAACTCCGTGAGCATCTCTACATAGCATTCTCCGAAGCCACGCGCCCACCTGCATCTATCATGACTGTATGATAAGAGGATTGACCCGAACATTGACCTTATTCGAGTTTGAATCTCCTCCATTGGCTTCTTCAGCAACCATAGCATTCACCTTCTCCTTCTTAGGACAGTCCCTCGCCCTGTGTGGACCCTTGCAAATGAAGCAACCACTGTCCAGCTTTGGCCTCTGTTGGATGAACGTCGCCTCTGACTTACCTTTGTCTTTCTCTTCCTTAGCAACACCATACCTCTTGGGCTTGTCACCGAACTTGCCCTTCTTCTTCAGTTTGCTGGCGATAGTAGAGTCAGACTTTTCAATCTGCAAGTCCACCAGGCTGTCTGCTGCAACTATAGCAGAAGAGAGGTCGATCACACCGCTCCTCCTTAACTCGATTTGTGCCCATGATTACAAGCCTGCCATGAAATTAAATAATTTGTCCCCCTCGGACATATCTTTGATATCCAGCATCAAAGATGTGAATTCTTTCACATATTCACGCACTGTACCCGTATGCTTGAGTTTCCTCAATGACTCCCGAGCCACCCAGCCAGGAAGAAACTGCTCCTTTAGTTCTTTCCTCAGCTCTGCAAATACAGTAATTTTTGGGCGTAACTCGTCCTCCACCCGAGTTCGCCACCACAATTTAGCATCACCAGATAAATACTTACTGATAATAGTTACCTTGTCATTATCTGGAATGTGGGCTGCTCGAAAATATTGCTCCATATCCCATAAGAAATTCTCCAGATCTTTGGCAATCCTCTTGCCCCTGAATGACTTTGGTTCTGGAATTTTGATTTTGGAAGATATCTCGCACAACAGTCTGATTATGCATGGCCCTCTTCCATAGAGCCACCTCGCCCTCCAAATCCTTCCCATGATCTTTGAAGAGGTCTGTCATGGACATCACATCATCCGTCATAATCTGTATCTTTGAGTTTGTCTCCTCCACAAACTCTTCAAGCATTGATCGTATTGTCTACAACTCAACTGCAAACAATTCCATCTGCTCCGTCAAGGCAGCAGCATCGTCAGATTGTGGAGCACCCACCAAGGCCTCCAAACAAGTCACACGATCTTTGAGAGCTTTTGTAGCATTACCACAGGCCATGATGAACCCAACTCTGGGCTCTGATACCAATTGTCACAGAGGTAAATTCTGAACACGAATTTAGTGCCCTGTGATGGCACTAAGCCAGAAATATGAACAACTTTTCTCTAAATTTCTAATTTAGCTTAGCCAACTCATACTTGGTGCCTAAAACACACAGCAAGTAAAACACTCTCACACACAAGTATAGTTGCAAGAATGTAAAGACAATAACACCCACAAATTTTACAGAAGCACAAGGCTTCCAACTTTTTACTATTATTTACAAAACAGTACAAGGAAAGGCTTCAACCTGCAGAAGCATACATGAGTCTCTCACAACACAACTCTGTGTCTCACTCTCAATCTGCCCTTTCTACAGAATCCACATTAGCAATATTATGCAAACTCTTAAAACCGCCCACAACTGCCTACTAAAGTGGTGGATGACACCCCCATTCACCCACAACTACCCACTAAAGTGGTGGATAACACACCCATTTACCTAGGGTCATGTTGGCACCCACTAAGTGTGCCAACACTACACATGTAGTTGACAAACGCAACTACTAGCTTGTTGGCACGCTCTGCTCATGTCACTTGTCCACAGGAAGTTACACATTATCTGCCACCTTCTATATATCAGCATAGTGGAAGAAAATCGACTCTAACCACCTGTGTGTTGTCCCCTCAGATCTGTGCCACATGCATGGGAAGTTCCTCAGCACACCCCCACTCCCCATAATATATGCATATGAGTGGGAAGTTGGGAAGTAACTTCCCCCAACTAACTGAGCCCATTTAGTGGGAAATATAACTTTCCCCAATCACCTGAGCCCACTTAGCGATCTTCTGTAACCATTAGCCATGTCTGAGTCCCCTGAGCAAACCTTGCACGCTAAGCCTTGCCTACGCCCACTGCCTTGTGCCCATGTCCCTGACTTGACTATGCCACAAGTCCATGACTTGTGTGGTCTATGCTTTAAGCAACATCTGAGCCAACTTTGTGAACTTAGCCCGTGCCAAGCCCACTGATCTGCACCCACATATAAATGTCTCTAAGTGCACGAAATCCAAATCGAGTGCCGTCTGCACCAACCATCTTCTATGGTCTCAAGGTACCTCCCATAAAGATCCCGAGCCAAAACTCCAAGCTTCACTTTTTTGCCATATTTATGAAAATGCCACTGGGCACCCCAGTGCGCGCTGACAGCATCCCATGGCTGTCTGGGGGCTTGTCAAGGTCCTAACCCCGTAACACCTAGCTACTTACTACCTATATATGCATCTGGGTTTCTGATAGAGGATTTATTTCTTTATTTTAGTCCCTATCCATAGTCGTATTTATTATACTAATTTTGATTCCTAATTTTGAATCTATATTAGTTACAACTTAGAATCTCCCTTCGTCCCTCTCTGTATTTATCTTGGCCTCAAAATTATATAAATTTCTGTTATATTTATTTATTTTAGTTGTATTTGTTATACTAATTTTGATTCCTAATTTTGAATCTATATTAGTTACAACTTACAAACTCCCTTCGTCACTCTCTGTATTTATATTGGCCTCAAAATTATATAAAATTCTGTGACAGGGCGAGGTCTGGATGCAGTGCGTCTGATTCCAAAGCATGTAGGGAGAAAATGCGGAGGGATAAGCTGAATGACAGGCATGCTCTCTCTCTCTCTCTCTCTCTCTGTGCGTCTGTTCACTCTTGTATGTGTGTGTTTGTGCTGTGTTGACTTTTGCTTTGTCTCAAGATTCCAAGAATTAAGTTCAATCCTGGAGCCTGGAAGGCCGCCAAAAATGGACAAGGCTGTTATACTGAGTGATGCTGTTCGAATGGTGACACAGTTAAGGGATGAAGTCCAGAAGCTGAAGGATTCATGTGAGGATTTGCACGAGAAGATAAACGAATTGAAGGTGTGTTTGCCTGGTTTATATTGTTCAATTAAAAAGGAAAATAATGTTTGAGAGTGCTGCTGAGATCTCTGTGATAAGAGTTAGTCCATGCACAATTTATTAATTTGAGAAGCATTTCTTTTACAGGAGGAGAAAAATGAACTTCGTGATGAGAAACAGAAGATAAAGGCAGAGAAAGAGAAACTCGAGCAGCAAGTGAAAGCCCTGAGCACTCAACCGGGCTTCATGCCGCACCCTGCCGCAATCCCTTCTCCATTTGCTGCTCCTGGCCAAGTTGTTGGCGGCAAGCTTATGCCATTCATTGGCTACCCTGGAGTTCCCATGTGGCAGTTCATGCCGCCTGCTTCAGTTGATACCTCACAGGATCATGCTCTCCGCCCTCCAGTTGCTTAAGTTTGCAGGCTTTCTTGGTCAGTCTGCATTACCCGAGCGTGAGGAATTGACTCTTTTTATTTTGTTTTTTTTTTTCTTTTTCTTTTTCAACTGATATTGTTAACATTCTTTTTGGAAATTTTTTAGAGTGGATCAGGTGGGTAATGGACGGTGTTGGAAATTGGCAACTTCCATTGATTAGTTTGGTACTCGGAAATTTTCCAATTAAATCTATTGTGTTTATCTGTTAGGAAGTTTTTTCAATTTTCAATTGTGACTTGTGAAACTATTTTAGAAAACCGGGGAAAAAATAAATAAATCATGCTCGTACTCTAGAATGGGTAGTAATTTTTATTTTTTTATTTTTATTATTTTTTATTTATTTTTTTATTTTTTATTTTTTCCGGTTCCTGATTCAGAACTGGAATCAATTCTGCTCGAATGCTGCTTATAGATGGGATGAAAATATTGGTATAATTGGAAATGCAAAAACTTTGAACTGATACCTCTTCTCTCTGTAAACTGTATTATAGAACTACATGCCAAAGTCTTTTCAGTGATTCATGAGTTCAAAGTTAAAACCCTTTAACAGCATAGTCATTGGAACTAAAGATCCTATTCATCCTAAAAGACCTAAACAAAACTGTTTTTAGCAAGGCTGTTTGAACCCCATGTATTTCCCACTTGTGTAGTCCCTCCAAACATCCAGAGCTCCAAAGCTGGTTATCAGAACAGTACTCAGCGCCATAACTATACCAACTGAGAATACAATGAGGGAAGCTCTCCCATGTCTTCCTATGGCTGTCTGCACTACCATCAATCCAACCAGAGAGGCAACGAAACAGATCAGCGCAAAGATGCTGGCAATGTCTGTGTGCTCCATCCCCAACAATAAGTACTGAATTGCAGACATGGTAGATGAGAAGAACACCATGAATGAACAAGTTGCTGCTGTCACCTGCATCACGACAAAAGTGATGTTAAAAGTCAAAAAAAAAAGAAAAGAAAAGACATCAACGAAGCTCAAACACTCAACCTCCCCTTTGATCCTTTGAGAGATCATACCAACTGGGCTAGTGCCCTTAGGTCAAATAATAGATGGTTTATTGGGTAAAGAGGGGATAAATTTAGTTCTATACAAATGATTGAACAAGCAGCCAAGGCATGCAATAGTGGGAACTGCACTATCAGGGAGAAGAACTTCCGGGCATCGATAACATCTCTAATAAGCTAAAAAGATGGATTGCAGAAGATAATCGAACTTACTTCAGGTGATATTCCAACTTGAAGAAGAAGTGGGCTTATGAGCATTCCACCTCCAATTCCAAACAATCCTCCCAGAATCCCTGCTAATAGTGCCATTACCGGGAAAATAAGCTTGTTCGATGGTCTAGCTATAGTTTGATCTCCATTTTCCTATCAAAAAGAACTGGGTTTAAATTACAACGGAGAAGAAAAATGAAGGTCCAAAAATATACATAACATTAGGTAACTCGTCACAATTATGATTCATTAAGCACCTGCTGGTCGGAAGGTTGATCTTGGAGGCTCTCTATTCTGTAGAGCATCCATGCAGTGAAAATGATAGCAAGAGGAATTTGAACTGCTGAGAGAACCCAATATCCCAATCCACAAGCCTCACTTAGTATCATACTCTGCATATATTTTGAAAAATCACATACACCAAGTGTTTTAGAATATACATGAATCGAGAAACATGGACCTCTAATCAAAACAGTCTATGATAGAGTAACTACGAAAAAAAGCAAGATTTTTACATTTTACATTTTTGTTTCCATCTTTCCTTTAATTTGGAGGCACCAACAAACCTCTCCTCTCAAAGGGAGGTTGGTTGGCATTTCGAGTTCTACTAGGACAATATTGTGGTTGTCTATCCGTTTATTTGTACTTTTCAAAATGAATTACATACCATATCAATTGAATCAATTTGAATTGATTATTTCATATAATTTCCTAATTGAATATACAATAGTTAGAGAATCTAATGCTAGCTTATGCCAACAACATAAAACTTGTTTACACACATCATCATACAATTAATGAATACCCAAACCATCAAGATAAGTTAAATCATGAGCTCAATCTGCAAAGTAGTTTCAATAGTAAGAATGTTAAACAAGTACAAAAACATAAAAGATAGAATATGCCAAAAGATGAGACAAAAAGCCTACCTGTCCATATCGATTTCCACGAAGAAGATAAATAGCAAGGAAGGAAAACCAGACCATAACCAAAACCCCCAATTTCATCCATGGAATGCCCAATCTGCATTTCTCTTCCCCACCCAACAGAGGCTCTTTGGTGCTCTTCAACCCTTCACTTCCATCACAAATCTCAAAATCTCTCACCAACCCTTTTTTCCTCCCTTCTTCTGATTCCAATCTCCAATACAAAACCCCTGATTTACATGTCTTAAATGTGGACCAAACTAGAAAAACCGCAAAAAGTACAGTGATGAGCCACTCTGGGAACACCAGATTGCAAATCACACCAACACTCACTCCCAACAACATGCATGGCTCTGATAGAAGTGCTATATCATAGTCAATCAATGTCTTGGCACCAATCTTCTTATGTGTCACGAACATGTTGCACAAGACATTAGCGATCGACCCTCCGGTGACCATAAAAGCCGACATGCTCGAGGCTGTTTTGAGGTCGAAACCGGCGACAACAGTTAGGATGGGAATGAACAATCCACCGCCACCAATTCCGCCCGCACTTGATATAGAGGCCGCAATGAAGCAAAGAACTCCTCCTACCAAAATTGAGGGCGTTAATTTGAATTGAGATTTGTGGAACTCTGTTTGGTGAGTCCGCCATTGATGAGTTGTGTTTGGGAATTGGTCAATGGTGGGGATTTCTGAGATGGGTTGTGATTGATTTGCATGGGTGTGATTGGAGGTGATCAAGATGATGAAAGGAAGGATCATCCATGTCAGAGAACTGTGAGTCCTCATTTGCTTGGTGGTGTTGGTGGTGGTGTAAATTTCTAGACGAGTGGGGATATTGAACTTATATGTAAGGAAGTAGGAGGAAGATGCTACATGGCATATTGGAGGAGAAATATGTCAAAAGTGAAAATAAATCCTCTTTATTGTATTTATGTCATCAATAAATTATACCTTTTATCACATAACTAACAATATCATTACGATATTTAGTTCATTGTATTACAGTAATTTTTTTTCCTGTATGGGCTATTCAGCATTAACCCGCGAATTTAATGATAGGTAAAAGTTTATAATTTTGAATTTTATCACGATGAGTTCTACTTTTTTGTTTTTTTATAAGTAAATGTAATATATATATATAGGTGAAATTACAATGAACTTGATGAATTTTGATTGAATAATATATATGTGTGGGTAGGTTTGTGTAACAATATTATACATATGCATGAGTATGCGGTGGTGCCCCCCGTGAGACTAACCTACTCTGGACTACAGAACAGTTTAAATTGCAATGGCAAGGGGTATTATGCTCTGTGAGATACCTAAACTTATCATTAATGGAAAAAACAATAAAATATATCATTTTAATGTGCTCGTCTAGCGAATGAAAGCACTTACCTTCAGAGATAAAAAGATTATGTATTCTAATTTTGAAAATATTTAAAAAAAAAAAAAAAAAAAAATTGTTTTGAGAATCGAAAGTATGGATAGAACCTTCTAACGACAGGTTTTATCCTTATATATATATATACACGTAGGGGGGGCTAAGATTAAGAAGAAGGGTGTTGATAATTAAGATAGAGGAGGGAGGTTTAAGTTTTAATATAATTATTTATGTTTTCACTTTCCATTCCGCATTGCATTTCCACATATTTTTTACTTTCGTATTTCATGTTAAGAAGTGGGTCGAGTGTAAAAAAAATACCTATGTAATATGCTTATAGTGCATATTGCATTCCTTCCATCCAAAAAATATCCCTAAATTATGACATTTGAGCAAATTGGTCATATTTATAAAAATTGGACTAAAATGCCCTTATAAACACATTTAATAATATATATAAAAAAATTAATATTTTGTGAAATTACTAAAAAGGGTAGCTAAAAAAACCATCTTCCTTCCTTTTTCTCCTTCTCCCCCGGCCACAAGCTCCAAAAGCCATCACCTTGTGAACACAGACCTCTCCGGCAGCCTCTTCCCAGCCGTCCGCAACCTCCACCTCTCCCTCCGCAACCTCGGCATCAATAAGATCGCCGTCTACACCATGGTTCAGAGCTCTGTTGTCGCTCAAGTTTAGAGCTTCGAGACCCAGCTCATCACCGACGCATCAAGACCACCGGCAAAGCTTCATGGTCATCCACGTACAGAGCACTTTCGGTTTAGAGCTTTGTTCCCAAGCGACGAAAAATAACGGTGAACACGCGCTATACAGAGCACTTCGCTGCTCTTTGTCGCCACTACTGCCTTCTGCCACGCCGTTTCACCGGTTTTAAACCTCTGTTCAATATCATGCGCCGGTTACACTCCGGCCTCCTTAACCCATGCCCCTTGTCCTCTTCATCCAGATCGCGTGTCAACACGCTTCAACACTCCGCCATGCGGTCGACAATCATTCCTGCTGATCAGTCGTCGTTTCATTGCTCCATCATCTCTGACGCACCACCACCAGTTGTTCCTCCATCAGAGACCCAACAGTAAATTCCCAACCTTCAGCCTTTCTAAAACCCTTTTTTAGTGGCCAATCCCGATCGCTGCCGCCCAAAAGTTGTTTCACCTCTGTCTCTTTCTGTTCCTGTTGAAACTCGAGTCGACCTCCTCAATCAGAGGATTGGTTCCTCAATGCCCTCAACGGCGCGAATAGAAGGCTTCAATGTCATGAACTATCTTTAAACAGGAATGCGAAACAGAGCAGTTGCAAAGCTCCAACAACTCATCAATAGCGGCAAGGTCAGTTGCTTCTACACCCAAACTCAGTATAACATTATAACTTCTGCAATTCCATAAAATCCAAGCTGTCGGTTTTATATCTAGATGAATCTCTTACCATTCGATCCATTATACCTACATTTTTATCCAAATCTCATAGCAATCTCAGCCTTTAAGATCCCATTTCCCTAATTTAAATTGCTTATTCCATTACCAGGTTAATTTTGAAATCTAAATGTACATAAGGACAATATTAGAATCATTAGTCCCTAATAGTAATAGAGGTTACTTTGCCTAGTGGTTGCGGTTTTGGGGTGAAGAGTAAGGTTTGGTAGGGGCATTTTTGGAAGAGTAAAAGGATAAGATGGGCATTATATTAATTGATTAGTGTTTTTGCACAAATTGAAAAGAATAGGGGTATTTTTTGTATACTTTTTTAAATAGGGTGTAAAAGTGCTATGAAAGGTATACTTCAGGGGTGTTTCTTTCACTTATCCCTTAAAAAGTTAATAACTTCCTCTGCAGTGTCCCGGATTTTTTTCAGATTTTTCAGCATTATTTTCATTTTTTATTTATTTTTCTCCATGCATCGTTATTGCGTGCCGTGTGATCCTGGTATTATTTTCCCATTGCCATGCATTTATCTATTTATGAGTTAATGTGTTAGATGCGTATGTATATATATGTGTGTGTCATGTAGGTGGAGATGGATATTATGTGGCATGGTGTAGTTTTAGTGAGTTTCGAAGGGCATTTATGGTAATTGTGTGAGGTGGACTTTTGACTCATTTCTAACCATTCAATATGGATGAAGGATGGCTAAACAAAGACCACCACGTCACTTCCTCTTTCTCCTTCCCATTTCGTCTCTTTCTTCCACCATTTCACTTTTTCTCCCTAAAATCTCAAGCTTCTCTCTAAGATTTAAGCTAGCTAAAGGAAGATTTATGTGGGGAGCAAAAAGGAAATGTTGTTCTACTTTTCGAGATCTATATTTCTCAACGGGTCTTGCATATATTTTGGGATTTCCGAGCTTGGGAGTTAAGGGCTTTGGGTTGCATTCTTGAGGTAGGGATGTTTAAAGTACCATACTTTATCTCTTGTTTGAGTTTCTTTTCTTGATTCCATGTTTTACTTGCTCTAAACGTTAAATTTTAAGTTGAAATGGTGTTGTATATTGAATAGAAAAAGCATGTCTAAATGTGATGTTGATTATATGCGTAATTTGGTTGCTATGACATTAAAAGCATGAAAATATTGATCTCTATAATGCTTGATTTCATTCATGCCATGAGCATGGTTGGAGAATTGTGGTTGAAATGTTTTTTTAAAAAAAGAAAGTTATTTGGGAATGGTTGGAAAAAATGATTTTATGAAAGGGATCGGGTTTCGCGATCCAGGGGTTAATTCGACCTAGAGGGAGCGCATGCCGGGTAGGACATGTAAAGTTGATTACTAAGCCCCTAATAGTTGCCAGATTTGGAACTAAGGATAGCTAATCAATCTCGCCTCGGTAAAGTCGGTTAGCAGTTTTTGGTGTGTGTTGAGTTGGGCTGGGAATTGTGGTTGGAAAGGCATGACATTTCATAGCATGATAGCCGTCGTGCTCACCCCATATTTATCATTTTCAGGACATGTCAAGGATATTATAGACGACGCACCCTCACAAGCTTAGAAGTGTAGAATGGACTTTTGACATCTTTTGTAACAGACTAGCGTGGATAGTGATTTTGTAATGTAATTATATTCTTTTGTGAGCTTCAAGTGAAGCTTTTGTAATTATGGTCATGGAGGCCTCATCATCTTGTAAACATATTCTTTTGCACTGGTATAAATGTTTCAAAGATGTATGAATGATGATATTTGTAAATTTTATGAAACGTTTAATGGTTGATGATGTTCATGGAACATTAATTTCATGTTTAGGTGTTTGGAGATTGCATTTGATTGGGTTTTAGGAAGCAGGAATTTTCGTTAGATTCATCTATGGGCATCATCTAACCGGTTAGATAGGAACACCTAACAGGTTAGATGAAAGGGGGTAATGTGTTGGTTTGATGGGCTTTTCCCATCTAACCGGTTAGAAGGGGTTTTCCTAACCGGTTAGATAGTTTTTGGGTATTCTACTGCCTGGGTAGGAGATTTTTCGTACTCAGTTAGATGTATAGGACAGAGAAGGGGTTGGATAATTTTCATTATCTAACCTGTTAGATAGGGTTTCTTAATCGGTTAGACATTTTTTTTTACGATTTTTTTTCACTGGACCATTGATGTACTTGGTTAGGAGAAATCTCCTAACCGGTTACATGTGATCTGATGACTTGCAAGCTTACTGGACCATTCATCTACTCGGTTAGGAGAAATCTTCTAATCGGTTAGATGAACTGATTTTTCCACAAGGATTTCATATTTCAATATAATTACCCAATGACCACCAGACCCCAACCAAAGTATAGAATGACCCTAGAAAATGACAGAATTACCCTCGAAGGGTATGAATGTTGTAATTTGACTAGAAAATGACTATTTTGCCCCCAAGGGTTTTTATATCACTATTTCAATACGGTTAAAGTCTATTTTACCCTTTTGGATTTATTATTATTATTTGACCATGCAAAAAGACCATTGTACCCCTATGAACTTTAGGAGTATTAAAATGACGTAGTTTGGCTATAAGGCCTCCGGACCTCATTTAATTCATGGAATGACTCAAGTAAATGACGGTTTTACCCTTAGTGGACCTTAAATCATTAAATTAATGTGAAATGACCATAGTACCCTTATGTCACCTCGGGTCCGAGTAAGGACTTGGTTAGGGATCCAGATTTGGTATCAGAGCAATGGTTCAAAAACCATTAGGACGACGGGTAGAGGCCTACCTAGGGTTATGTGGGAAGTGATTTGCATTGTTATGTGATTATTTGCTAAAGTGTTTTGTTATGTGAAGAAGTATGCTTAATTGTTTACTTACTTACGTGCGTATATGCTTATGTTAGTGTATTTATTGCATAGCTTTGCATGCTAAGTGTTAATATATTACCATATTGTGTTGAATCATTCATGGGAGAACGTCATTTTTGGGCGGACCTTAGTGTCATCGTTATTGAACCGTTTTCTCGTTTTATAGCACGATGTCACCGCGAAAGGAACCAAGGGGAGTTGGCCCTAGGCCGACAAGGGGTGATTTTGGTGAGAGTTCTAGCTCCAATCTCGTAGAGCAGGTTGGAGATGATACACTTCTTAGGGACTTGATTCCCTCGAGAGGTGTTTCCACTAGAAGGGACGATGTTGAGACACCCATTGAAGAAGGTGAAGGTTTGACGGAACTA